ACAAGGCGCCCTTTCGGGTTTTCACCTAAAGAATAAAGACACGTCTCGATCATGATCGACTCAGAAATATGAGTTAAAGGTTTCAGGCATCAGTAAAATGCACTTCCTTTGTAGATTAGGCGAAGGCATTACGGACATCACTTGCCAGTTGATTATCAAATTTTGCTAATAGAAATGCGACAAATGACGGAAGCCAGGACTTTGGGTTTTGTAATGAGGTCAGGTGGGGTGTTTTTCCAGAAAGGTTAAGGCTTGAAAGCAAATTCGATGCCAAGGGTAAAATAAACTGAGATTGCCCTATTTTGAAATCATTTCCGATTTTGAACGAAACCGGGGAAAATTTGCCCCAGTTTGATCGGATTTTCACTCTTTGCATTTTCTTCATTGCATTTTCCTCACTCTTGCATTTTTCTTTGAAAACTAAATTTGCCCCAGTGTGGGGTTCTTTTCCCTTTCTTTTGCTCATCTCTCTTTCAAAATTAAAATTTTGCCCCAGTGTGGGGTTTGCAATTCTCAGGGGTTATCAAACGAAATTTGTCAATTCTGATGGCTCAAAGGGGACAAGTAGAGATAAAATATTTTTTAAGTGTAAAAGAAGATGGCCTGACTTGCATTTCGCCATTTGCATGAATTTCTAAAGAAAATTTGCATGATCAAATGAAAAACTTTTTGCACATATCTGAGTTGATGGGTTGAGGGAATGTCCGTCCATCCATTTCTGCTAAAATAAGGGCTCCGCCAGGTAATACCTTTTGGACAATGAACGGCCCTTGCCAGTTTGGAGCGAATTTGCCCTTAGCTTCATCTTGCATCGACAAAATTCGCTTTAGCACTTTGTCACCTTCTTCGAATGCACGCCGATGGACCTTTTTGTTGTAAGCTCGGGCCACCCGTTTCTGATAGCACTGACCATGACAGATAGCGTTGAATCGCCTTTCATCGATCAACGTCAATTGCTCATGGCGCTGCTTTATCCAGTCAGCCTCCTCCAATTTAGCCTCCATAAGGATTCGCAACGAAGGAATTTCAACTTCGGCTGGTAATACAGCTTCCATTCCATACATCAGTGAATATGGCGTTGCCCCAGTCGATGTCCGGATAGAAGTCCGATACGCCATTAGTGCATAAGGCAACTTGTCATGCCAATCGCGATGCCTTTCAGTCATTTTGCGGATAATCTTTTTCAAATTCTTGTTCGCGGCTTCTACGGCTCCATTCATCTGAGGCCTATAAATGGCGGAGTTGTGGTGTCTGATCTTGAATTGCTCGCATAGTCCATCCACCATGTCATTGTTCAGATTCTTGGCATTGTCAGTGATAAGCGTTTCAGGCACCCCAAATCGACAGATGATGTGATCTCTCAAGAAATTGGCAACTACCTTCTTCGTAACATGTTTAAACGATTCCGCTTCAACCCACTTGGTGAAGTACTCGATCGCCACCAATATAAATCGATATCCATTTGAAGCAGGAGGATCGATTGTACCAATCACGTCCATACCCCACATTGAACAGGGCCACGGGGCGGTCATGCTATGCAACTCAGTGGGTGGAGCGCGTATAATGTCACCGTGCATTTGGCATTTTATACATCTCCGGACAAAGTCTATACAATCATGCTCCATAGTAAGCCAGAAGTATCCGGTTCTCATGATTTTCTTCGCTAGCAAATGGCCATTCATGTGAGGTCCACAAACGCCACTATGCACTTCTTTCATTATATATTGAGCTTCATCCTCATCAATGCACCTTAAAAGGTTTAAATCCGAAGTTCTTTTGTACAATACTTCACCATTTAAGAAAAATTTGGAAGCCATTCTACGCAGAAAACTCTTGTCTTTTGTACCAGCATGCAGAGGGTAAGACCCAGTTTTAAGAAACTCCTTAAGATCATTATACCAAGGAACTTTGTCGAAGGACTTGTCTACAACCCAACAGTGAGCAGGTTTATCCTGAAGTTGGATCTGGATTGGTTCAATTTTCAATTCATCTGGATACTGGATCATGGAGGCTAAGGTGGCCAAAGCATCAGCAAATGTGTTTCGGGCTCGCGGGAGGTGTCTGAACTCCAAATTTTGAAATTGCTTGGCCAAAGTGAGCAAACTACAATGGTAAGGTAAAATTTTTGAATCTTTAGTTATCCACTACTTCAAAGTTTCGTTCACGAGCAAGTCTGAGTCACTGAAAGCTACCAACTCCTTGATTTCCATTTCTAAAGCCATTTTGAGACCAAAAATGCAGGCTTCATACTCAGCCATGTTGTTTGTGCAAGCAAATTGCAATTTGGCAGCGGCAGGGTAGTGTTTTCCTTCAGGTGAAACCAGAACAGCTCCAATTCCAGCTCCTAGAGAATTTGAAGCTCCATCGAAGAAAAGCCTCCATTCAGGGCTCTGCTCACTTATATCGTCCGTGGCGCCTACAAATAAGATCTTTTCATCAGGGAAATAGGTGTGAAATGGCTGATAATCATTGTCCCTTGGATTTTCCGCCAGATGATCAGCTATAGCTTGCCCCTTGACGGCCTTCTGTGAAGTGAAAATAATATCGAACTCTGAGAGGATTATTTGCCACTTAGCTAGACGTCCAGTTAGCATCGGCTTTTCCAGGAGATACTTCAAAGGATCAGATCGAGAAATAAGATAAGTGGTATGGCTCAACAGGTAATGTCTCAGCTTTTGAGCCGCCCAAGCCAACGCACAGCAGCTCTTCTCAATGAACGAATAATTAGCCTCGTACTGCGTGAACTTCTTGCTTAGATAGTAAATGGCTTGCTCCTTCTTTCCAGAGTCATCGTGTTGCCCCAGAACACACCCTACGGCTCCGTCGAGCACAGACAAGTACATGATCAGCGGTCGGCCCGGTTCGGGTGGCACCAGGACCGGAGGCTGCAGCAAATAATCTTTAATCTTGTCAAACGCCTGTTGACACTCCTCATTCCAGTACAACGGCACATTCTTTCTTAATAATTTGAACAACGGCTCACATGTGGCCGTTAACTGGGCAATGAATCTCCCAATAAAGTTGATATTTCCTAAGAAGCTTTTCACGTCTTTCTGAGTCTTTGGCACTGGCATATCTCGAATCGCCTTGATTTTTACTGGATCTATCTCTATGCCTCTCTTGCTCACGATGAAACCCAACAATTTACCAGCTGGTGCCCCAAAGGCGCATTTCGCAGGATTTAGCTTTAAATTGTACTTCCGCAACCTCTCGAATATTTTCTTCAGATCAATCAAGTGGTCCTCTGCCCTTTTAGACTTGATTCTAATATCATCCACGTAGACCTCCATCTCCCAGTGGATCATATCATGAAATAGGGTTGTCATGGTCCTTTGATATGTTGCTCCAGCATTCTTTAAACCGAAAGGCATGACTCGGTAGCAAAAGGTACCCCAAGGGGTAATGAAAGCAGTCTTCTCCCTATCCTCCTCTGCCATCAAAATTTGGTGGTAGCCAGCAAAACAATCGCAAAAGGTTTCAATCTCATGTCCGGCAGTATTGTCTAAGAGAATGTGAATATTTGGTAGAGGGAAATCATCTTTAGGACTGGCTTTATTAAGGTCTCTATAGTCAACACAAACTCTCACCTCTCCACTCTTTTTTGGAACAGGGACTGGGTTTGAAAGCCAAATTGGGTAATGGAAAACAATGATAATGTTGGTTTTGAGTTGTTTTTCAATTTGCTCATTTATTTTGAGGCTCATGTCTGGTTTAAATTTTCGGGGTTTTTGTTTTACGGGTGGAAAAGAAGGGTCTGTGGGTAACCTATGCACCACCACATCAGTTGAAATGCCAGTCATATCATCATAGGACCACGCAAATACATCCTGGAACATGGTCAAGAATTAAAGCATCTCCTTTTTCTGGCTCTTATTCAAATGAATACTAATCTGCACCTCCTTAACTTCATCCTTAGTTCCAATGTTAATCTTTTCTGTTTCTTCCAGGTTCGGTTTCGGTTTTTCCTCATATTGTTCAAGATCCTTTGCAAACGAATCGGATACTTCCTCATTATCACTCTCGCTTTGGAGCTCGGATTCACAGACTTCCAAATCGTGAGTGATATAGAGATTGCCATTATCGAATTCCAGAATTGTGATATCCAAAGGATCAAATAATTTTATTTTTGGCCATCTGAAAGAATTAACGAATGTGGGATAATAAGCAAACAAACTCACAACCAACAAATGGACAAGCAATATGAATATAAACAAGCGAATAAACAACACAACAATGACAAGAACAACTTGTGCATTTTCATAAAACCTTTGATTGAAAGCAAATGGAAATGAAAACTTAACAATATTTACATGCGCAGACGTTAGTCAAAAAGGAAATTGTTTTCATTGGCTATTTACAGATGCAAAGGTATTTTCATGAATTCACATGAATGATAAACCCCTTTCATTTTACCGAAACTCCTTCCGAACGGGCAGGGACTCGGCTGTCCAATTGGGAATTGATCCTTCGGGAATGTCAGGAAATTCAGCTTCGCCTGGAACAATATCTTCAAATGTTGCCCCAACGAACAATTGGGCCAAACTTGCTTCAATTTCGTCAACTGGGTTGATTTCTGACATGATTACCTCAGCCGGTCGTGGGAAAGTATAATGCAGGGGTGGAATGTCAAGAACCCTTTGCCTTCCTTCTTTCTCCGCTTTCTTGCGCTCCTTCATCTCTCTGATGTCCTTAGCAGTCGGTCGGAAACCCAAACCAAACGAATCCTTTTTCTCAATAATCTCCACTGGCTTCAGAATCCCTTGCAAATCTCATCCCAGCCCTTTGTCAAATTCATAGCCTCCACGGATCATTTCTTTGGCCATCATGACACTGGCCTTTGGTAAAGCTCGCTCCTCGTTTGTGATCCAACTTACAGAGACGATGTCAGCCGTGCTATGAGAAGTCATGGTAACATTGCGGCTTCCATCCTCTTTTGACCCAGAATCGGTGACTACAAGGCAATCTTCTTCGGCAAATATAGTTATCAGCTTGTCATTTACTACAAACTTCAGCAACTGATGCAATGAAGACGGCACAGCCCCAGACTTATGAATCCACGGCCTTCCAAGTAGAACATTGTAAACACTAAGAAAGTGCATGACTTGGCAGGTTATTTGAAACTGGGCGGGCCCTATCTCGATGACTAAATCCACTTCTCCTATTGGCTCTCTTTGCGCTCCATCAAAACCTCGAATTATAGTCCCTGAAGGCCTCAGTTTTATGTCTTGCAACCCTAGCTTTTCCAAGGTGCTCCAAGGACAGATATTAAGTGCAGAGCCATTGTCAATCAATACCTTCGGCAGCATTTTCCCATTGCACCTCACAACTATGTATAGGGCCTTGTTATGTCCAATACCCTCCACCGGCAATTCATCGTCAGAAAAAGTAATTTGTTTGGTGAATAACACACTTCCAACTACATGTGAGAAATTATCAACAGAAATGTCCCTAGGGATTTGAGCTTTAGTCAATACTTCGATCAGCGCGTCCCTATGCACGTCTGAAGAAAAGAGTAGTTCCAACATGGATATCTGGGCAGGCGACTTGCTCAGCTTCTCAACTACATTGTACTCACTTCTCTGAAGCCTCTTAAGGAAATCCAAGGCTTCTTTCTCAGTGATTGTTGGTTTAACGGGCGGCTCGGAGTTGTTTACTTGAATCGGAACGGCGGCTTCAAATGGACTTGCAATCTTCCCCGATCTGGTGACCGCTGACACTTCTTCCTTTGCAATTATTTTTTTCCCAATCTGTATGACAGGTTCATCATAGTTCCACGGTACTTGTTGCAGGCTCAGGACAGGTTCCTGCTTCGAAAATTCAACGACTATTGGCTCCAAAGCCGCACTCTCAGCTGGCGTGAGATCCAAAATAAAGGGCTTTTCGTCCTCTTCAAATGGCAGTTCTATGACAAAGGGTTGGTCTGTGACCCCAAACACTTCAGCTTCCCTTGCCAATTCTCTGACTGGTTCCACATACTCCGTATCATCCAGAATAACCCCAATAATATTGGCATGTTCCGGTAAAGGGTTCCTATTTACGTTCGGCCCTTGCGCATCCCTTTTCCGGATTACAATCTCCCCGGCTTCAACCATATCTTGGATTTTATGTTTAAGCGCCTTGCAATCAAAGGTGGCATGTCCGGGGGCCCCAGAATGATAAGCACAGACAGCTTGTGGATTATACCACGCGGGCATGCCATATGGGTAGGTAGGAGGGGGCACCGTACCAATTTTCCCAGCAGCCTTTAATTGTTCATACAATTGATCCAGAGGCCTGCCTAGGTTGGTAAATGTACGGCCAGGGGGTCTGTTGTAAGGTTCAGAAGGTTGAGGGTGGTTGTGAACAGGTCTATTTGGAGGCGGGAATCTTGGGTTATATGGAGGGCGTGGTCGGTTTTGGGGTGGATTTGGTTGAGAAATTTGAAAAGGGGCTGAAGGTGGGTTTGAATAGCTTGGGCGAGGTCGAGGGTGGTGGATGTTGGTAGTATATACAGGGTGCGGATTTGAGTAGTAAGGGTAATGGGGTTGGTAGATTGGGTTGTGTTGGTATCGGGGTCTAGGTGAAGGGTTTTGATTCCAAATAAAGGTTGCGTCCCCCTCTTTCTTTTTGAACGGCGGCTTCTTCACATTGCTTCCTTGCCCTTGTTGTAAAGCATCCAACTGAGATTTCAGGGCAGAGACATTGACAATCTTCCCGGCTCTCACAAAGTCGTCAAACTCTTCCAATTTATTCACAATTGCAGCAAAAGAACAACCAGTCATACGGAAAATTTCTTCGAAATATGGAGGATCATGCGCCTTTATGAATGTGCGAATAATTTCATCCTCAGTCATCGGTGGCTCCACCTTCGCAGCTATCTTTCTCCATCTCTTGGCATATGTCTTATGATCTTCGGATGGTCGCCTTTTCGTTCCTTCCAGAGTAGTCCTGGTTGGCGCTAGCTCACAGTTATACTCATATTGTCTAATGAAGGCATTAGACAGATCGAGCCAGGTCTTCACTTCCTCCGGTTTTAGGTTGGAATACCAGTCAAGCGCATCCCCTTCTAAGCTTTCTGGAAATAATCTCAACGGCAAATTCTCGTCATCCACTGGCTTGCCCAACTTGTTAGCAAACAAGCGCAGGTGCGTTTTAGGGTTGCTTGTTCCATCATATTTGTTGAATTTAGGGGTCTTGAACCCCACCGGCAATTGCACGTTCGGAAACAGACACAAATCATCATAATCCAACACCCCTTGTTTGCTTAAACCTTGGCTTTTCCGGATGAATTCATCAAAACGATCCAAGCGTTTAAGCAGCTTCATATCAATCTGGGCAGACGACTCTCCCATTTCTGGCTTATTTTGAAAAGTGTGCTCCGGCACCACGGGCTCCGCGGTAGCCTGGTTAAAAGTTTGTGGATTCGGGTGCATGTTTGGGTCGATTTGAGGCTGAAACCCTTGCCCATAAGGAGGATAGAACGGAGGATTTTGAATATAAGCATATTGCGGGTTGACAATTCCCTCAAACGTGGTTTGCATTGAAGGAATAACAAATGGTAACGTGGTCTGGCTGGGAGGAATAACAAATGGTTCAGATTGTGGTTGTGTGGCGGGCACAGGCTCAGGTTGCACTCCGCTACTAACGAGTTCGTCGATTAACCTCTTTTGAGTGGCCATTTCGGATGCCATTTCCCCAAATTTTGCGAGTAATTCAGTCAACTGAACCCCAGGACTTGCGGCCTCCGGCTGGGTAGTTGCAACGGCCTTATCGGACGATTCTGGCTGAGTGCTCATGTCTACACGATTCCTTTGGGCCTTACTTCGGGATCGCGTAATAATGGGGCTTTTCCGAAAAGCTATTTTGAAATTTACCTGAGAATGCAAAAGACTTCTTTAGATAAACCAATGATTACTGAATTTCTGCAATTTATTCAAAAGAGAAAAAGAAAAAGACAAAGAAAAAGAAAAAGACATGAGTTAGTAGCTATTCGAACAATTCGGATGCATGTCCTAGTTGGGGAACCCTTTTTGTGCCAAGGGTAGGCCTAGCATGATGCAACACTTTCGGAATGAGACCCATTAATCAAACCTGTTATTTGACAAACACTTTGTGAAAAGAGATTCATTTCATTGCAGAAACCAAATACATCTGTTTACATCATATCGCGAAGGCGATTTCGTACAAGATCACCAAAGTTCCTAAGCCTATCTAGTACAGAGTCTTTACTTTCTCTAGCATATGGCATCTTGACACGTTCGGCTTGATCATATAATTCCCCACATTGGCGCTTCATCTCTTGGCGCCTTTCTCGCTCCTTCTCATATAACCTCTTGTTTTCTTCTGCCTTTCCTTTGTGCACTTCGATGGATTTCTTTAACTGTACCACCTCCATGTCCTTGGCTTTAATGATGGCTCTCAGCTTCTCAATTTCCTTATACGGCTCATGTTGCAACCCTTGCGTGGTGGAATCTTTCAACCAATCCTCGTATGGTGCGGTCATTACCCCCTTCTGTTTGAGCTCCGGAAGATAACGAATGCTTCTATCGTCGGATATTGTTCTCCAAGATTCAGTGATTTGGCTCTTCATAGGGATCTCTTTTGGGCATACCCCCTGATCAAAGAAAATGGTGACTTCACTAAACTCGGAAATCGGTGGCGGCCCCTGAATGCGACCTAGTTGTCTGAGAAATCTCTTCGGGGTATACGAGATGATTCCTTGAGTACCCAGCAAGAGAACACGTTCGGATTCCTTAGTGCGAAGTATCGGCTCAAAGCAGTCTGTCCAATCTAATACCCACCTAATGTTGAAATCTTGCAATGTTTCCAAGTAGTCCACACATTCGGATGCATTCTTTGGTAGATCTCCCTCGTTGACTCTTTTGGGATGTGTGACTACCCAATTATATCCAACCACCGGCAAACTATCGGCAACTGATGCTTGTCTCTTAAAATGTCCCGTAGCCCATATGTATAAAACCAAGTTCGCCCCATGGAAAAACTTTTCTCCCTTTCGACAACCAGTACAAGCTAAGAAAATATCTGCGAGAATGGTCGGGACTATAGAACATTGCTTACCCTGAATTCCTAAGAAAAGGTCATTCACAATTTTTGCTAATTTAAAAGCTATCTTTTGATCTTTTCGCGGAAAGAGATAGGTCCCCGCCATAGCTACCCCATATACTAGTGACCTTTTGCGCTCCCATAAGGCCTTGGAAGTGAACACAAAATCCGTCGTATGCCTTTCGAATCCGTCGCGTGGCGCAAATCGTTCAAACAGAATATTCACGGCGACACCCTGATCTGACCCTCGTAGCACGGACTCTTTCAATCCTATAATTTGACAAAATTCGGCCTTGTCGGAAGCAAATGGAAACACCAAGGCAGTTCCACGTGTGGGTAAACCAAGGAGGCCAGCTACTTCTTCGAGTGTTATAGTCATTTGCCTATTGCCTATTCTAAAAGCAGTACACTCGGGGTCCCAAAGATGAACTAAAGCCTCTACCAAATAATTGTTGGATTTGATCTCCTTAAAGTCTCCAATTTGTCCTAAAAATTGGGCTACTTGATTCAGTTCACTAGGTAACATGAAGGTGGGCCATTGTTGAACCTCAGTTGACGGTATCAACAATTGGTAGATGCGGCGAGGGCAAGCCATCTGATAATGAAGAAGGTAGTTTGTCAATTACCTTACCTACGAGTCTCATTCCTCCAGTTATGCAATAACTTAAACATGCAGTCCCTTGAAGGGTTAAATACCCATGGGACACAAAAGGGTTGGTTTTATTCCTAAAACGGGATTCCCTACGTGGCGTTCCCTTTCTAGGCTTTATGCATGATGCCATTTGATTAAAACAATAAAATATGCCTAAGGAACCCTTTATTTGCCAGGGTAGGCCTAAAATGGTATGGCATTATGAATTCATAAACGAAATACAGCATAATTTGTCAAACGTGCAATAGCCTATCTACAAGGGTAGGCTCTAAAAGAAGGTCATGCCAGACCTCTTATTTGCTTAGGGTTAATGAATGCAATGGGGACACAAAATCAAGAAAAGTTAGTTCAGCCAAGATAAATACACATAACACATTGTAATAACAAGATAAAGCAATCAAAGAAAATAAAGCAATAAAAAGGAGAAAGGGGTTGGACCCCTCCCCTCGTGAATAGTGTCCCTAACTTAGGATAGGGCCGACTCTACCCTAGGCAAGCTATCATGGATGCATGAGGTTGGGGTTCACTAATGCATCTAGACTCGATGAGCTCAGGTCCCCGAGCTTTCAGACTTAGAAACCAAGGGTCACCAATCCCAAGGTTCTTTGTCGGTGGCTCGAGCGATTCCCCAAACACCGCTACGCACACATCGTGTCACGGCTACGTGTTTGAGTGAATCTATCAAAATCTCAATCTTCGACCAAAAGCTAAAGGCTATCAACCAATAGCTTTAAGCGGAAGATTGAGTGACCCATTGGAACATGCTACACACATATCGTGTCGTGATCACATGTCCAAGTGAGTCACCTAATCCTAATAGGGTAGAGTGGCGTGACAAGCCACTAAAGAAAAATAAAAGGGATAAAAGAAGTAAAGCGTATGCTCGTATGCTAGTGCTCGTTTGGATGGGAAGGGTCAAGAACCAACGCGAGGCTCTAGGGTGACCCATACCTCCCAAAATGCAATGCAAGCGCGAGATAACAAGTAAACATTCATTCAAACATACATTCATGAGTCGAGAGATTGGTTTGATTACGTACATAAGACAAAAGGTCCTAAAAATGAAAAATGCAATCCTAATATCCACATGCTATGCATAGAAAGGGTAGAAAAAGGAAACGAATGGTTAAGTCAAAATGCTTGGACCCACTTAGGAAGTCCCCAGTGGAGTCGCCAACTGTCGCGCCCCACTTTTTGATAAATAAATAAATGGTTTGAGAAAGATGTTCTTGATTCAATTTTGATTGGAAAATGATTTTTGTGAGTTGAAAAAGATATGGGTCTAACATGGGACTTGAAAAAGCGACGATTCGACCCAAAAAATAGTTTTTTTTTTAAAAGGGTTTTGAATGAGAAATTGGAGTCGCCACTTGGTAATGATTAAGATGTACCAAGTCACCTAAAATAAATTTTTTAAAGATAAAGTAGCAAAACCCTTTCAAAAACGACTCCTAGTCCACGTAAGCCAAAGAAAAAGGTTCGGGAGTCACGTTTGACAAA